CAGCTCTCCCTCTCTGGGTCTAAAGTCCCCAGCCACTCCATCCTTCCATGTCATCATCTCTGCCTCCATCTCTGGTGTTACTGCTTCTGTGGGTAGGGTCCCACTCTCTGCTCTTCTCCCTTGATGGTCCCAGGGACCTCCGCTCCTAGACTGCAAAGTTAATCACTCCACTCCTTACTGGAAAATGTCTACCTTTACATTTCCAACCCTCACAATCAGTACTGATAACAATTATTCACCATTGTATCACTAGAGACCTATCCGAATTTCCTTTCATCAGCCCTACCTAGACAGATTGGATACTACTCAGTGGAGATTCTACCTTCCTCCCCGCCCTCTGGATTTAGATTCCTTCTTGAAAGCTTGTAAACCAGTCACTTCTTGCCTTTGAAGCCTCCCCCTATCCCCACCCTCCATTTTGGGGAGCCAATGTCCAGGTTGCCCAACCCTGTCTACTCTATGTATGGAGGGGTAGGAATGATCCTTGCTGTAAAGATTTGTTCCCTCTTTTGAGCTACTGCATCCATAGGTATAGGTCAAGTTCATCAAATTGTATCAGATTACTCTTTTTTCCCTCTTCCTTCTTCTAATTGAGCTCTGATCATCCAGCCATTGAAGCCAGGTCAAGTGGGTATTATCTGTAAGTGTGGATGTTCTTATGCATATGCCCTCTCTTCTTATCAGCGGAACGCTTCACTCTCCACTCTAGTCCTCTGTGGCTATGGCACTGACTCTGGGCCCAAGAGCCCCCAGGTCTTGTAACACTGCTGGCCAACCAGGTATCTACCCGGGGTTTACAGGAGTCTATTGAATGTTGTAGGGCTTAGCTCACAGCTTCATTGCTGTTTTACCCTCACTTCCCCTATCGGTGACAAACGTGGTCACCAATCAGAGAGCATGTCTGCTCGTGTACTCCCATTTAGTTTTAGTCTTAGAAGGGGGTTTGCCCTGAGGGGACCCGACCACTTGCTTTGATGTCTCCTGGGTCTAGATCTACTTTTACACTGATACAGCCTGCTAAGTAAACTATTTCGGCCTCAATTTTGAATGCAAGCTACTCCCCTTAATTAGTTCAGATAAATTGCTAACCCTCTTTTAATGTCTGTTTCTAAATCTGTGATAATGAAGTTAATACTTACTCATGCTGTTACTGTGATGTTAAATGAGATAATGTGAAAAAAGACTAACACCCATGCTTGGCTCAATAGCTGGCCATTATTTTTGGTTTTCTGTTTTCTTTCATAACTTTTATTTGAGTGGTGTTTTTGCTTTTAATTTTTTTTAGCACACACACAAATATTTGATTGATCATTGCATTATATATCCTTTTTAAACCCAGGAGACTTACCCACAGAAAAATTAAGTGGAAGCAAATCTGTGAAGTTACTTGATACTTATCTAACAATAGAACTGAATTGATTCAAAAGAAATATAAATAAATATGAATTAAGGTGGAGTTGATTTCTTGATTATTTCAAGATATTTCTCTTATCTTTAGTTTTCAGGTTTGTTTAGGTTATTATTACAAAATAACTTCTGGATACTTTCTCCTTAAAATATAATCACAAATTGAATGTATAAATTTTGCACAGTATAATTTTAATATAAAATTTAAAGCAATGAATTTTTCTGCATTAGTCTCTAGCATGATTGGAGATATAAACCCCCAGTACATAAGTGGAATATCTTTCCCTAAAGATTCTATTCTACCTTCTATCCAACAAAAAAATGATTAATGAAAAGAGAATTTGACCTTTTTTGCTTTGTAAAAATTAGGTTATCAGAACAAGACAAATTCAAGGTGTTTTGTTTTTTTTAATTGAAAAATATTTAATTTCCTCTCCCAAACAAATAGTACAAGTAATTTTAAAAGGTAGACTTTAGGTTCACATTGTCTTCTGTTCAGGTTTCATCGTATTTTGTTCAAGTCTAATTGTACATTAAAACTGAGATTTGAAAAACAATAAAAAAGGAATGGACAAAAAGAAAGAGTCTTTCTCTCTTTCTGCCTCCCTCTTTCTCTGTCTGTTTCTTGCTTTGCTCTCTTTCTGTCTCTCACATTATTGTCTACTCATCTGTCAATTATCCACTGAGCCCATCAGCTGTTCCATGGGAGAAAGATGAAGCGTTCTGCTCCCCAAAATAACGAAGTCCTCGGAAACTCTATGTTGTTGTTGTTGTTAAGTGCCGTCGAGTCGGTTCCGACCCATAGCGACCCTGTACAGTGTTACCAAAGCTGTAAATCTTTACGAGAGCAGAAAGGCTCATCTTTCTCCCGCGGAACAGCTGGCAGTTTTGAACTGCTGACCTTAAGGTTCGCAGCCAGATTCGTAACCACTACGCTACCAGAGCTATACAGGGTCGCTATGAGTTGGAACCATTCAACGTCACTTAACAACAACATCTGTCGATTATCCCTCTCAACATGGGTAAAAGAGCATACAGTCAACACCGTATATTTTTGGACAGAGGTTGTTTAACAGAAAGGCAAGTATTTCTTCCTAGTTCTTTTTTTCCTCTTACCTCAACTCCAGCTGCAGCCAAGAGCCACCGGATAGTTTCCATTCGACCTCGTCCATTGAAGTAGTGAAGCTTGGGCTTCTCTGCCATGCTTAAATCTTCCTGAAAAAATGATAGAGATTGATTAAGACTAAATATGCAAACTTTTCACATTGTGCTCTTGATCCTTCTTGACAGAGAAAAGGCCCTTAGAAATGTCCGCCACAAAAGGGAGATGAGTTTGTAGGGTGCTATAGTAACACAAGAGAGAAAGAGGACAAGAAGGAGGAAGCCAGACCAATGCCATGAACTCAAGAGTAAGACTCTGACCAGCTTTTCCTCCTGTAGCAGGGGATTGGAGCGTTTCCTTTTTTCTCTCTTTCTATATAGCCTCTCCTGTCACCTCCTGCCAGGACAAGCCAACACTGGAGAAACTGTAGGGGAGGTCAAAGTTTTTCACTTCCCACATTAATCTTGCTGTCTTAATTCTAGTATCATCTGAAGCCTAAGGTAAAAATTCAAGAGGATTTTCAATGACTCATTGGGATTTTGAGCAAAACTGCAGAGTTCGGCCAAGTGTGTCTTGCACACTTTTACCCCTCTGAAAAGAAAAATGTCTTTGTTAAAAACCTAATACATAATCATTTTGAAGAAGCTGAACTAGGACAGAAATGGCATGCAAGCAGGAAAAAGAAAAAATTACCTAGAAATATGTTATTGTTAATTACTGTAAAGTTGGTTCCGACTCATAGTGACCTTAGATAGCATCACACCAGGACTCCAAAATGCTGGCCCATATGGGAATCGAATCTGCAACCTTGGAGTTATGGGCTAATGTACTGGACTACAAAGTTGGTTTCAACCTCAAGATTCAAGCCCACCAGTCGTTGGGAACCCTATAAAGGGTTACTATGGGTCAGAACTAGCTTGATAGCACTTAACAACAACAACAACAACAACTGAGCTAACTGGCCAATATAGATTATAGAATATAGAAATATCCATCTGTTCCCCATGCCGAGATCGCCTCTAAGGTTTATGGTGTATGAGAAAGTAGACTTGAACGGGTGCTCTGGATACTTTAAAGCAGTTTAGGGTGCCTAAAGGGGGTTCTTGAAAGCAAGAGGACTACCGGGAGGGGTAGAGGTGATGTTAAAAGTAGAAGTATCTTCATGGTATGAGCTAAAGCTGCTTTCTTTTGCAGTATAGCAACTAGCTCACTTTTTAAACCAGCATAAGGAGCTCTGGTAGTGTAGTGGTTACGAATCGGGCTGCAAACCTTAAGGTCAGCGGTTCGAAACGCCAGCCGCTCCGCGGGAGAAAGATGAGGCTTTCTACTCCTGTAAAGATTTACACCCTCGGAAACCCTGTACAGGGTCGCTATGGGTCGGACCCGACTCAACGGCACTTAATAACAACAACAACAACAATTGTTTACTTAGGAGCTCAGCAAAACAAATAAAAAAATGATAGATGAAGAATGTCACATTTTGGAAATCAGAATAAATTATCTAGGCCATTAGTTTTTAACCTTACGTGCCTATTAGTATCATAAAAAAGACAGCATATGAAACAACACCCCCACCCCTGCCCCACCCCTCAACACACATTGCCTGGACCTCATCTCCAGAAATTCTGATTAAATAATCTGAATAGGATCCTGACATTGGTGTCTTTTATATTCTCCCCTGATGACTCTAATGCGCAGCCAGAGTTGCACATCAGGTATTACAAGGAAGTGTTATAGTGGAGAGATCAGGATGGCTACTCTAAGAATCTGGCATCACTGCCAGACACGGTGTTACCCCTTATGAGGCACAATAGAAAGTATGTCTATGAAGAATTCTTGCTCAGATAGCCCACTGCCATTGAGCCCATTCCGACTCATAGTGACCCCATATGACAGAGTAGAACTGCCCCATAAGGGTTCCTAGTCTTCATTGTTTATGGAAACAGATCGTTAGGCCTTTTCTCTCACAGAGCAACTGGTGGGTTTGAACATTTCAGGTAGCAGCCGAGCAATTAACTACTGAATTCAATCAAGTTTCTAGATACAAGTTTATTGAGAAGCACGTTGGGAAAGCACTGAGTAAAATCAGCAAAGTATTTCAACAGACTTACTATACAGAAAGGGGGCCCCAAACCAGCAGCATCAGGATCAGCAGGGAAGTTGTTAGAAATGCAGAATTTTAGGCCACACCCACATCTACCTATCAAACTTGGTATAGTAACAAGACTACTCAGGAATTTGGTTGCACATTCAAGTTTGAGAAGCACTGTTCAGTTTATTTGAGAAGTAACAAATAAATTGTAGTCCCTGTTGTTACAGTTCCAGAATAAGAAGTTTTTAAAAGATGTATGAAAAGCAAAGACAGAGAGTTTATAGATTAAAGAAATTTAAGGGAGCAGATGCAATGTGTGGACCCTTTTCGGATTCTCTAACATATCAGCTATATAAATACATGGTTCACTAGAAAAGTGTAGACAGCAGAGACAGTGGCTATGTGCCTGAGGACAGGTGGCTGGCGGGCAGAATGTGCCCTTTGGACATTTAAATGAATATATATATTTTTATTTTGTAGTGTTGAAGAGCTTGAGGACTAAAGTGCGCCTGACCCAAACCATGGTATTTTCAGTAACCTCATATGCATGTGAAAGCTGGTTAGTGAATAAGGAAGACCATAGAAGAATTTATGTTTTTGAGTTATGGTGTTGGAGGAGAATAATGAAAGTGCCACGGGCTGCCAAAAGAACCAACAGATCTGGGTTGGCAGAAGTGCAGCCAGAGTGCTCCTTGGAGGCCAGGATGGCCAAACTTCGTCTCTTATACTTCAGACATATTGTCAGGAGGGACCAGTCTCTGGAGTAGGATATCATGTTTGTTAAGGTGGAGGGTCAGAGAAAAATAGGAAGACCCCTAGCAAGATGGATTGGCAGAGTGACAGCATCAATGGGCTCAAACGTGGCAACAGTTGTGAGGTTGGCCCAGGATCGGGCAGTGTTTCATTCTGTTGTGTATAGGTTCGCTGTGAGTCGGTACCAACTCGATGGCAGTTAACAAAAACAACAACAATGTGTGCAACAAATATTTTTGCCTTGTTGATTTATGAAATATGAGATGTAAATGGGGAGCCACAGGGAGGAAATAGGATAAATGTTGTTGCAGGGAGGGGATTTTAATCGTTGAGATGAAACAAGGTGTATAGGTTGTTGAATGTAGAGCTGTAATCTGGTCTGTAAACCTTCACCCAATTCACAAAAAAAAAAAAAAAAAAAAGTGATACAATTGGGGGAATTTGGGCTATTATGGAACATTTACTATTAAGGAGTTACTGTTAATTTTTAAGGTATGGTAATAGTTTCATTATTGTTATTAAGTGCCGTTGTTAGGTTCCAACTCATAGAGTCCCTGTATAGGGTTTCTGAGGTTTTAAATTTTCACAGGAGCAGAAAGCCTCATCTTTCTCCCTTGGAGCAGCTGATTTGTTCAAACTGCGGACCTTGTGATTCTTTTCATAACAAGTTCCTATCTTTTAGAGACTCATATGAAAGTAATTCTGTATAAATAATATGGTGCTGGGATTTGCATCAAATTGACTCACTTGTGTGTATGTGTGTGTGGGGGGGGGGAGGGGTAGATGCCACATGAATGGCTTTTTGTTGCTAATTTCTGTTCCCGAGGGATGGGAACATGGGAGTCATTATATTGTTCTCTCTACTTTTACAAATGCATGAATTTGCTGGCAGAAAAATATGCTTAATTGTTCAGCAAAAACTGAGGTTCATTACATTAGGGGAAGCTTTAAAGGCCCTGAGGTGGCTTCTGAGTCATGAGGAAATTTGGAACAATGTTCATTACAGTTTAATGGACAAATGTATGAGAGGAATACTTGGATGAGCCTTCTGAATTCAGTTTTAATGATCCTAGGCCTGTGGACTCTGAACAATCACTTCATAGATACATTTGCTTCCTCAGACCTTACAGACAAAGTACAATGAAGTATAATGAGGTGTAATTAGAAATAAATCTTTTGTGCTAGGTTTCACCTTGTACAATTAATTTCTCTGAGCATCAGTTTCCTTATTGGTAAAATGGGGGAAAATAACACCAACCTCCTGTGTTGTTGAGAATTTAAAAATAAGCTAACTATGTAAAAAGGAAGAAGTACAGTCAAAATGCTTCTTAGAAGCCAGGATGGCAAGGCTTCATCTCTCATACTTGGAACATTTTCAAAGGGACCAGTCCCTGGAGAAGGATATACCATGTTTGGTAAAGTGGAGGGTTGATGAAGCAGAGGAAGACCCCCCAGTGAGACGGATTGGCACAGTGGTAGCAGCAATAGGCTGAAATCTTGGAGGAAGCTGATTAAGAAATCCCAGAGTCCCAATATGGTGGTGGTGTGCTGTGGAGTTGCTTCCAACTCATAGTGACCCTGTGCAAGCTTTTCAAGGCTGTAAACCTTTACAGGACCAAAAAGCCTCATCTTTCTCCTGCAGAGCAACTGGTAGTTTCAACCTGCTAACTTTGAGGTTAGCAGCCCAATTCGTAACCATTACTCTGTGAAGGAGCTCTGGTAGCGTAGTGGTTATGAATTGGGCTGCGAACCTTAAGGTCAGTGGTTCAAAACTACCAGCCGCTCCGCGGGAGAAAGATGAGGCTTTCTACTCTTGTAAAGATTTATACCCTCGGAAACCCTGTACAGGGTCGCTATGGGTCAGAACCGACTCGACGGCACTTAACAACAACAACAACAACTCTACCAGAACTCCTTAGAGTCCCAATATAGTTTAGGGTATCTAAAAACATGGGAAACTTGTTCTAGTTTTCCCCAAACCCAGAATGACTCATTGAACACAATAGAATAGTAATGTCAGGGTTCCAGATAGGTGGGCATGAGATAGCCTCAGAGTTCTTCACATCCCAGCAATGTATGGGAATAACCACATGTTTGTAAGAAATGATTTCAAATAAAAGAGACCTGCAGTGTTACTGAACACAGCAGTCACCTGCTAAAAGCATTACATAGAGACAAAATGGGACTAAGAGAGTCTCTTATATGAACACAAGTTTTGGTTCACTCCATAAGTCCCCAGAACTTAAATGTACTCCT